GAATATTTATAAAAAGATGATAAAGTTCATTAGTTACAATCAATCGAGATATTTATGAAGTCAAGAATTCATTCGATTAGATGAACAATTGAGATTAGTTTATATAAATGATATGGTTTGTATTTGAAACTATCTATATTTAGAATTTATATTTTTAATCTATCAAGATTGAAAATTTTGTATCATTTGAAAATGTAGGAGGAAAAGAGAAGAGTAAATTACATTGGTTCATGTGGTTATGTGTTCTAATACTCTAGATCCTTATTTTAAAATATCCATGAATTACATCCTTATAGTTTGCATTTTATAACATATGGGGTCCCTAAATCTAACTTTATCAAAAAAAAAAAAAAATTGTTAACTCAGTTAGTTTAGAGGGGTATTTTAATCATTTGATTTTTTTTATTTTCAATTAATTTATTCTATTAATTTATTAAACTACATGCATCAAACATGTAGTTTACTCTATTTATATTGTATTTTAACAAATATATATTAGAGTAAATATATTCTCTATACGTATTGATTATGAAACCCTCATCGGCCGATGACTTCATCTTCCACGTCCATTGCTTCCGTCCGGTGACTTCAAGAATCTCATCCCTAACCTTTTCTTAATCTCAAAATTAAACCACAATTCATTCCAATTGTTTAATTCAAAATGTGTAATTCAATACATTCAATCGATTATAAAATCATTAACATATACATTAACCCAAATTAATTCCATATTAATACAAGAGATCAACCATAAACACTAATATTAACGTTGTTGACAAAATAAGACATTTGTGCAAATCTATTCAAGAAAAAACATAGACATTAATCCGGTAAATTTAATCCATTACACCCTATAATTAACAATTTCTTTTAGAAATTGAAACCCTAAAATCAACAAAGAAGAAGATTAGACAGATATAGGATATGGGATCAGGAATCGAAAGCTGTATAAAAAAATTGAAACACCAGGTAAAAAATAGAATTCTAAGCTGTAAAAGATTGAACCCGTTGATTGTGATGGAGATGTTCAGTGTGAAGAGGAAGACAACGATTGGATTTGGAATCAGAGAAGAAAGCGGACAAGATTAGAGACAGTGGTCGTGGTCTCCGGCTACATCTTGATGATGAGATACATAATAATATCTTGATGAAGAAACTGCTCTAGAATCTGTCTTGAAGTTATTCTTGAAGAAACCAGTGTAGTAGATCTCGAATCTGGTCTCGATCCACTCAAATTTGGTCTCAAGGAAATCGGTGTAGTGAATCAATATCGGTTCTGGATGACTTCCAGTGTGGTGGTAGCCCCTAAATTTGGAGGTTGTCGGGGACGGAGAAGGAGGGAACTGGAGGAGGCCGTCAGGGATGGAGGAGTCATAGTCGTGGGGAGAAGGCGGTGAGGCCGGTGATTGGTGGTGGGGTGTGGAAGGGATAAGTTTCTTTCATGTGGAGGACGTGGAAGATGAAGTCACCGGAGGGAGGGGTGTGGCGTTGAGGGTATTGTCGGGGAATATGAAGTCACGATGTGGTTTTCTTCAGTTTTATATTTACTTTAATATATTAAATAAACTTGATTGATCCTTGTGGTTTTTAATAGAAAATAAGAAAAAAAAGTAAAATGACTTAAATACCCCTTTAGTTGGCATACTTAACAGAGAACTTTTAACAGGGTTAGATTTAAGAACCCAAACCACAGGGATGTAATCCATGATATTTCAAAATAGGGACCTAGAGTGCTAAAACACATAAACCACAAGGACCAAGAATGTAATTTACTCAAAAGAGAAAGAACAGAAAACCTTGGGCCTAGATAAATGAAGGGTTAAAATGGGGAACTAAAACTGAAAGCTCAAACCATAACCATAAGCTTTCCTTCATCCAAGGACTCCATTTGTACGGGTTTACAGCTCTCTATTTTTCACTCTTGTATTCTCCCCACTCTCTATGTGTCTGCTTTTTTCCAGGGTTTCTTTTTTTCCTTTCCTTTCCTTCTCCGATTATTCATTCAATCTAATCAAGACACAACATGGAGGAGATTACAGAGGCAGTGCAGAACATAACCATCTCAAACGACCCTCACAAGAAGAATCGTATCCAGGTCTCCAACACCAAAAAGCCCCTTTTCTTCTATGTTAATCTCGCCAAGGTAAAATTTACCTTTCATTTCTTGTTATTTTGGATATGAATGATGTGTTCCTGGAGATTGATTTTGTTTTGTTGCAGAGATATATGCAGCAACATAATGAGGTGGAGCTTTCCGCCCTTGGAATGGGTAATTTTATCTTATAACTCTGTACTCATTGATTAATTTGTGCATTACTGTTACCTACTTTAATCTAACAACTTATTTCAATCATTTATATGATGCGTTAATCTAGATATTCACTGTTCATATTGTGTATATACTGGGGAAAGGGATTTTAGTTTATTCACTTCTCTTTCTCTCCCATTTTTTGGTGTTTACACATGTATGTCACTATACATCATAAATTTTGACCCTGGTGTTAGCTCGTATGTTTAAGCTGATAAAATAGAAAGAGGAGCAAGATGTTAGGATTTATGCATTATCGTGGATATTGGTTGCAACGTCCCTGGCCTAAGAAAATGAGAATGGTAACTTCTGATCTTACCTCTATATTTAAAGTTGTCTTTGGTGTTTCAGTTGCAGCATTAGTGACTTTAATGATAACAAAATGTCAACGTTGAAAGAAAATGAAAAATGAATTTAGCCCCAAATGATATCGTAGTATGTATGTTATATTCATGTTCTAGAGCCTTTTATTTCTTTGCGTAAAATTCTAGTGGGTTTCAAATACCAACGAGTTTGGGATAAAAATTAGTTGTTATAGTTTGTTACATTTGAGCTTTGTCTTACATAGTTACATGTATCGGTTACCAATGGGCTACTTTCTAAAGGATAAAACATTTGAGTTGGTTTCTAATAGAATGCTTGATTAACTACTAAAACCAATTTTTTGGAATTGGTTGGATAACAATATATTAGGGGTGTTTGCGGTCCAGTTTGGGCTGTTTTAACCCCTCAAACCACAAACCAAACCGTAATGGCGGTTTATAAAATTTTCAAATCGAACGGTTTGACATCAAGTGCCCAGACCGGTCAAACCAGACCACAAAATGGCGGTCTGGTCTGACCGGTTTAGGCGGTTTGGGCCTTTAATGAACTTTAAATATTAAACTTAAAAAACATATATAATTTAGAATTTTAGATTGAATATCCATTTTAACAAAACAAAATATCTAAACAAATAAACGTAATAATTAAGCAGCTCTTGAGTACAAAGTCGAAGCAATTCAAAGTACAAACAAATAAATATATAACATATTAGAAAACAAACAAATTAACAAAGTTACAACTCTACTGTGAGTATTAAGTAACAAAATCCACGACTTCACAACCTTCAATAGTTCAATTCTTGGGTCTTGAGTTCTTGACCAAACAAAATAGAAGCCAAATCTAAGTTGGTTGAATCACTTGGTTGATGTCTTGATGATGTGCGCCGAAATCAAACCATGGATTAGAAAGATCAATAGATTGATGGAGTTCTTAAGGGATTTCAAAATTTGGAGACCGTTAATATCAAATGTGTCGATATGTTCAATGGTTTAATGGTTTAGTCGTCGATTTTGATTATGTTAGATGTTAGGCTTAGGGATATATTTGGGTCATAGCCAATAAGTTAAAAAAGTTGGGCTTGCTAATATTRAAATAGATAAATAAATAAATATATATATATATATATATATGTATTTGGAGGTCGGTTTGGTCCAAACCACCCAAAAAAGGTTCCAAACCACAGATCGGAACGGACCGCCCGAGGTTTTGCTATTTTCCAAACCAGACTGGACCGCCAGACCGCTCAAACCGCCAAAAACGGTCCGGTTTGACTTGGTTCGGCCGGTTTGAGCGATCCAACGGTTTTTTTGAACACCCCTACAATATTTTGAATTGAACACACACACGGATTTTGCATTTTGTACGTATGCTTACAACATATGACATGAACTTTGTTAACAAGTTGCTTTGATCATTCCTGTAGCCATTGCCACGGTTGTCACTATAGCAGAAATTCTCAAGAACAACGGGTTTGCTGTGGAGAAGAGTAAGGATTTTTAAGGACTGTTATTCATAAATTGTGCACTGTTAATTTTGCATTTGTGAAGTGTGTGCATTCTATGATTAAAAACAATGCAGAGATTATGACATCTACGGTTGACATGAAAGATGAATCTAGAGGACGTCCCATCCAAAAAGCCAAGGTAAATATGATTTGTTTTTTTTGTCATATTATTATTGTTATTATTATATACATAAAAGCAGAATATGTATAATTGTAGTGGTTAATATCATTGTTAGATTGAGATATTGCTGGGGAAGACTGATAAATTTGATGAACTGATGGCTGCTGCTGCTGAAGAAAGGGGGGAGGTTGCAGATGGTGAAGAGCAGCATAGTTAAATGTTGTTCTGATGGTTGTTTGTTGGGTATTTGGTAGTAGACATTGGCATAATCTGCATTATGCTAATTCAATTTTGTTTTGTTGGATGAAAGAAAACTTGGCTATATGAATATACAGATCATTTCTTTCAACTTCTTCCTCTTCTCTCTCCTTGCTTTTTCTATGTACCAAAACAGGTTCCATTTTTGAATCATTGTACTTGGCTTTTCGTTTGTAAATCAGATTGTGAAAATGCCAAAAAAGATGTTATAAATTACGAATGCTTTTTATAGGAATGTAAATGCCCAAAAAAGTTGTAAAACTCATTTCATGTTGTGGTTATCAGTGTAAATGTAACCAAATATGTCTTAGACGAAGAGATTTGGACTCTTGATCACTTTTAATCTCAAACCAACCCCTGAATTGTGTTTTAGAAGGGAATTGATCTAGTGTATCTCATTAATGAGTGGAGATCTCTTCTCACTATAGTTTTCATTCTCATTGGAACCCAATCCATATGTCTTATAGGCTTTACAAGTTATAGTTCAAGTGATTGGAGTTAAGTTCAATTGTAGTCAATATATTTGATATATGTATTTGGCTTGGTATCAGTTCTCTGCAACATCAGAGGGCCTTTGGCTTAGTGGTAGTCCAAACCTGTAGGAGATATGTTCAAAGAAGAATACATGTAATACTCTAGAAACATTTCAATCAATGAATACATCCTCTTGGACACAAATAACTTAACTATCATAGAAAGCTAGAAACCATGACATTGTTATTTAAATGTTATACTAAAACTAGAATGACTTATTCGTATCAAATTATCTACATTTTCATTATTGTCGTCACAAGTAATAGATTTATATTTAAGTTTCGTTCCAAAAAGCATTTCTATTTTATTTTATTATAATTCTTGCAACTACCTATTCATATTGACTCAATATGATTATAGAATATAATGACATTGTATTTTCTACTTTTAGTTTCCAAAAAACGTAATGTTTTCCTCTTTAGTAAGAAGAGTTAAAATACAAATTCACTTGTCATTTTAGAATTATAAAAAATACATTAAGGGGTGTTTGGGATTGCTTATAAAAACAACTTATTGACTTATTTTGATGTGACACCAGTAATAAGCACTTTTGAGTGTTTGGATAAACAACTTATATCGGTGCCAAACAGGTAACGAGAAATTTTTGAATAAGTTAAATCATTCTTGATAAGAAATTTTGTAGAAAAACATAAGTTGTTTCAAATAAGCAATCCCAAACACCCTTAGGAGGCGTTTGGTTCGCAGAATGAACTCCGAAGGAATGAAATCTGTCAAAAGAATTGGAATCTGAAAGGAATTGGAATGAAATGTTATCAGGTTTGACCAAGTGTTTGGTTGACAAGAATGGAATTTAATCTGTCTAACGAATTGGAATCTGCATGTTTGGTTTGCAACAGAATTGAAATGGAATGATGAAAAAAAGACAAAAATACCCTTTCTTTGATATGTTTATAATCTTTTTTAAGTTACAAATAACAATAAAATTAACATTTAATGAGGAAAAAATGTTTACCAGTTATTGAATCATATATAAACATAAAACGTGAAAAAAGTCCAACCAACCATAAACCAAACCGTTCATACAAGTTGACACATCAAATACGCATATATAAATATTGTTACCAACAAGTGTTTACACATAACATCCAAGCTATAGCTAACACAAAAATATTGTCCAAACAATATATAACAAAAATATTGTCCAAGCAATATAGACCGATCATTGGTCTAACATAACCAAAAAATATTGTTTTTACCACCAATTGATCATTGGTCTAACGTAACTAAAAGACATTGTTTGATCATTGGTCCAACATGAAATGGACCCAGTTTTCACGTCTTTCCTCCTTCAAGTTCCAGAAAGTGATCACAGATTCAGAGTCCTTTGTTATGTTTCGAAATGCACAAAACATTTCAGTTTCCGAGAATGTCCCGAACTTCTCAATCTCATCGGCGAACATGGAAGTTTTTTTGAACATTTCAACTTCAACTTCCATCAACGATGTCGATGCTTTCATAAGTTTGTCGCCAAGCATAAATGTTGCATTGTTTATTACCTCATGCAGAGAATCATTCATGTGTGTCCTTTTCTTGCTACTACTTGTGCACTCTTGACTTTGCACAATTTGTGTGTGCATGAGAGGCATCATCTTGATCATCAGAAAGGTTGTCATGGAATTGATTGATATAGTCTTCCATGCTTGCATCCTCCATCTCCATTGCATCTGTTGCTCTACTCCTATTATCTTTATCCTTGCCAAACACAATGCACAAATCCTCAAAATGAGGAAATGTCTTGTTTTACTATTTCCCAGCTTCTTTGTGAACCTATATTATAACATAAGTTGTAACATTTAATTATAAAACAACTTATATCATAATTACACCAAACACAATGAATTTGTACCTGTAGATAGGCCTCCCAGACTGGTGGTTCAACAATCACACAATATTTTTCACTATCAAAACTAAACCCGCTAGTATTACTACCATGCACCATGTCATAAACAACCTGCCAGTATTTTTTTCATTGTCTTTATCCTTGACTCAACATGGGGTTTACCCAATATATCATAATTGGGAAGTAATTCTTTTAGCGTCTATGGCAAGTGTTGTAAATATCCAGATTTGAATCCGTTGTCAGCTTTATACACTCCATTGTTTACCATATTTACCAAACTTTCAACCAGTTTAGCATCTTCCAAGTAATAAGATGGCCTTGGCGCTTTCAATCCATGTGGCCGAAGAAGTGCATCACGAAGAACTCGACTGTCTGCAGCTGAACCCTCCCATCCAGGTAACACATAGATAAATTGTGTATCTTGTGAACACACACCTAATACATTTGTAGCAATATCACCTTTTCTTGTTCTGTATCTAGGTATGTCTTTAAGTGGTACTAAACACTTGACACATATTCCATATAGAGCTCCTAAACAATTCTAAAATCAAAAAAGAAAAGAAAAATGGGTTATTAGATGTTTTATGTTACCTATGTCTACGTATTGTTGCTAAACTAAGTCGGGTCATTTCCTGTTTCCAAAAAAAAACAAAAGTTATTAACAAACCCCTTTTGTGCAAGATAATGTGCGTAACCAGTATTAACAAAAGTTATACACATAACTTACTAAAATAGTAGCAAACAACCACATTGTACCCAAGAAACAATAACATTGTATACACTTTGAGAAATAGTAGCATTCTATAGACTTTGAAGTTGAAAACAGTAGCAAACAGTAACATTATATATACACAAATCAGACATAGGAAGCATATAGTGCAGACAGTAGCAAACAATAGCATTATATATACACAAATAAGACATAGGAAACATATGGTGCAGAAAATCGATTTGTGAGGTTGAGTGCTAATTAATATGTATACACAAAACAGTAGCATTTAAGGTTTTTTTTATGCTTCTATAAAATGATTAGAAAACAACTTTCTGCACCATTGAGTGGATCAACTTTACTTATTCGAAAATGTTCTTTTTAAGAGCACAAATAGTACCTTTTTAAAATCAGACATAGCATTGACAGTAGCATTGTATACAATGTTCTTTTTAAGAGCACAAATAACAAACATGTAACAGTGTTCAACAGATGGAAGCAGAAAATTGATCGAGCAATAATGTTCATAAAGGAGAAATCAACAGATGGAGCAAGGTGAAGCAATGTTCAAAGCAAATGTGAAAGCAGAGAGAAACATTGTTCAAACATGTGTTCGATCGATATGAAAATGTGGAAGCAGTTCGATCTAGAAGAGGTGGAAGCAGTGTTCGATTGGAAGCAAGTGGGAGGAAGAATGGAGCGGCTAGGGTTAAAACATTGTAATGAGGGTATTTTTGTTATTTACATAATTTGGGATGAAATGGATTTTAATTCCATCACTTCCCCTAAGGAATGGTTAAATCCTTCAAATGATGGATTTTAATTCCATCAATTCCATTCCAACGGTAAGCAAACGTTGGAATAGAATATGGTTAACGGAATTGACCATTCCAATTCCATCAGATTCCGGCGGATTTTGACGAACCAAACACCGACTTATGTATTGTTATTGGAATGTGCATGTAATAGTCATTCTAAACTGCATAGCCACTATACAAGGTCGTTTTGAGGTCCAAAATACTTGTACATGCTCTCTCGTTTCTGGGAACCTGACAAGACTAACCCCTCTTTTTTTCAAAAATACATTTTTAACCTTGAACTATAATTTTTTTATAAAAATAACCATGGATTACCCTCTACGCACCAGTCCGTGCATAGAGGGAGCAATGTGCAAAAAGGAAAAGTATGACAAGACTTTGCCTATCCCCTTTTCCCCTTACGCATGGGCTGGTGCGTAAAGGGCCCACCAGTTTAAAAAAAATCTTTTTTTTCTTTCTCTTAATACAATGTATTTTTTTTATATAATATGTTTTTTATATAATTTTATTTTTATAATGTATTAATTTTAATATAATCTTGTTTTCACACTTTGAGTTTTATATAGTCTCATTTTGACAATTGTAACAACGAGATCATATTAAAATTAATAAATTATAAAAATGAGACTATATAAAAAACTAAAGTGTAAAAATAAGATTATATTAAAATTGATACATTATAAAAATGAGATTGTATAAAAAAAAGTCAAAGTTTAAAANGTAAAAACAAAATTATAATAAAATTAATACATTATAAAAATGAAATTATTAAAAAAAACTTATTATATTCAAAAAATACATTATAATGAGAAAAAGAAAAAAAGAATTTTCTTAAACTGGTGGACCCCTTATGCACCAGCTCATGCGTAAGGGGGAAGGGGATATAGGCAAGGTTTTGTCATGCTTTTTCTTTTTGTACATTGGTCCTTCTACGCACGGACCGGTACGTAAATGGTACCACATGGTCAGGGGCGGATGCATTAAGGAGTGGTTGGGATCCTGGGCCCCCAACAACATATATTTTACAAAGCCCAAATTTTTTTTTTACTTGTAGTTTTTAATTTAATACAATTGGGCCCCCAACATGATAATGTAAAAGGCCCCACTTCCATTTCCTTTTTCACGCCTTCAGCCCTTGCCCTTCACCGCTTCAGCCCTTGCCTTTCACCGCTTCAGCCTTCATGCCTTCACACTACTCAGATTCACGACGGTGATAGTTCACGACTTCACGCCACTGAGCTCATCAATCATCGATCTTCTTGACGTATTCGTCGGCCGTCGCTGACTGCCTGAATCGCTGCATCAATCTTCACTTCTTCTTCTTCATCAATCTTCATCGTTGTTGCCTGCTTCTTACTTCCGGCTTCCTGGACTGGACAGTGGACTGGATTGAAGCAACTCTAATTTGGGTAAAAATTCTAATTTTCAAATTCCAGTCTTTAATTTTTAATAACTTTGATTTTGTTGTTTGCTTATTGGTGATTTGGTAAATGCTTTATGTTAGGTTAATTTTGCAATTATATAGACAAATGGAAATGTTAGGTTAATTTTGCAATTTTGTAGGCAAATCAAATGGAAATGTTAGGTTAGTATTGTAGGCAAATGGAAATGTTACTATTGATAAAGATAAACCATTGATTTTTATCTTGTTATTGCTAGAAAAAAATGGAAAGATTTTTTAAAAGGAAAGCATCAACACCTGAATCGAGCTCTGCTCCTTCGATGTCTTACGAAATTGATTTGAACGATCTTCCTTGGGATCCAGCCGATAGGAAAAAAGATTTCGGAATATCATCCTAATCAAAAGGATGAAATAAGAAGAAAATACTTGCTTTGAGGACCTTGTCAACCACGGGGTCATGCATTTCCAAAAAATTTGTCGGGAGTAAAGGAAGACGTTTTTGTCCGGCTTGGTTTGATCAATACGCTAATTGGTTGGAGTATAGTGTAAAACGGATAGAGCTTTTTGTTTGTGTTGTTATTTGTTTAGAGATCATTACGTAAGACAATGTGGGAGTGATGCTTTTGTAACAGATGGTTTTAATAGTTGGAATAAAACGGAAAGACTTGGTCTTCATGTCGGCGACATTAATAGTTTTCACAATAGAGCACTTAAGAAAAGTGAGGATCCAATGAGCCAAGATCGATCTATTTTCATAAGCAAACTGAGAAGAAGAAGAAGAAGAAGAAGAATGAGCACCAAATACGATTAAATGCTTCAATTAAGGCATGTAGATTCTTATTGAATAATGCATTGCCCTTTCGTGGTCACGATGAATCTGAAATGTATCTTTCTAAAGGCATGTTCTTGGAAACATTAGCCTTAATTGGTGATTGCAATGAGGATGTAGGTAAAGTTATATTAAAAAAATGCTCCAAAGAATAATCAAATGGTGTCTCCAAGTATTCAAAAAGATATTGCTGCTTGTTTTGCAAATCAAATACTCAAATCCATTCGTAAAGAAGTTGGTGATGATGTGTTCTCATTGCTAGTTGATGAGTTTAGTGACATTTCTAAGAAGGAACAAATGGCGGTGGTTTTACGATATGTTGATGCACATGGTATTGTTAAGGAGAGATTTTTTGGTATTATTCATGTGACGAAGACATTTTCTTCAATTCTTAAATCTGCCATTGATACTTTATTTGATTGAGTTTGAAACAGGTAAGATGGCAAGGTTATGACGGAGCAAGCAGTATGCGCGGTGAGTTCAATGGATTAAAAGCCTTGATCTTGAATAAAAATAGCTCGACATATTATATCTATTGTTTTGCTCACCAACTTCAGTTAGTTGTTGTGGCGGTTGCAAATAAATATGACAAAGTTGAGAACTTTTTTAATATGTTAGTAATGGTGATCAATGTGGTGAATGCTTCTTGCAAGCGTAAAGACATGCTTCGACAAAGTTACAAAGATAGAGTGCAAGAAGCAATTGGTAAGTGTGAAATTGATATTGAACATGGAAATACCAAGAGCTTTCTCTTATACGAGCCGGAGATACACGATGGGGTTCTCATTACAAAACCATTTTGAGCTTGATTGCTTTGTTTCCGAATGTTGTTGAAGTGCTCCGGTATGTTGAAGAGGACGGGGATAATGGTTTTAGTCGCACTCAAGCAACTGGTATTTTAGCATATTTGAAGGCATTTGATTTCATGATTTATTTGTATTTGATGTTTCATATTTTAGAGGTCATAGACTTCTTGTCACGGGCTCTTCATAAAAAGGATCAAGATATTTTGGAAGCGGTTTCATTGATAAGAGGAATCAAACAACTATTGCAACAATTTAGAGAAACTGATTTTGATCCACTTTTGAAGAAAATGTATTCTTTTTGTGAAGCAAATGGTATTAAAGCTTTGGATATGGAAGACCGTTATTCAAAAAACGGAAGAAAAAGGACCAACATCACCAATTGTCATTATTACAAGTTTGATATTTTGAACACTTTTGTGGACATGCAAATTCAAGAGTTTGGGGATCGATTTAGTGAGGTAGGTACTGAATTGCTTAAAAATATAGCAGCTTTGAGTCCATGCGATTCATTTTCGCAGTTCAATGTATCAGATTTATTGAAGTTGAGTGAGTTGTATCCTCAAGATTTTAATCATATGGAAAAGATCGCTCTTGAGAAACAACTTAACATGTACTATTTGATTGTGCGTCAAGATGAAAGATTTGCCAATTTGAGTGGTATTACCGGGCTCGCTAGACTGCTAGTGGAAACAAAAAAGTATAAAACTTATCATCTAGTATATCGGTTATTGAAGTTGGCTTTGGTTTTGCTATTTGCTACTGTAACAGTCGAAAGATGTTTTTCTGCTATGAAAATTGTGAAGTTAGATTTGCGCAACAAAATCGGTGATGAATTTTTGAATGCTGCAATGATATGTACTATAGAAAAAAAAACATTTCTCATAGTTTCAAACGATGATGTAATTACTCAATTTCAAAATATGGAGAGTCGTAGGGCACAGTTGTAAGAGGTAATTTTTTATCATTTTTTTATGAAATTGAAGTTAATTATTATTTTATCTTATATCATAACCCCTACAATATATTTTTCTGCATCCGCCACTGCACATGGTTATTTTTATAAAAATTTATAGTTTAGGGTTAAAAATGTATGTTTGAGAAAGTGATGGGTTAGTTTTGTGAGGTTCCCTCTCGTTTCTCCATAGAACCCTAACCCCTCTTCTATTAATCCTTAAAACCTAGCCCCCCGCTCCTTTCTTTCAGCTCATCCGCCGAAGAAATGGTAATCTCTCTTTCTCTGTCGTCTTTCACCTTTCAATATCTGTCCCATTTTGCGCTTTTTTTATGTTCAATAACAAACATATATGTATTGAATGCATTTGAATTTCTTTTTTAGACAGGAGAAGCAGTTAATCCCAAAGCATACCCATTGGCTGATGCCCAGCTTTCAATTACAATCTTGGATCTTGTTCAACAAGCTGCTAATTACAAACAACTCAAAAAAGGTGCCAACGAAGGTATGATCTTTAACCCCTCCCCAGAAACCCTAATTCTCCCGATTATTTTGTAAAATTTAACCTAGATAGTGACTCTGATTGTAAGACACATGGAAGACAAATCTTGGGGGCCGTTTACCAAATTCTTACCGGGTAAGCGCGTATCAAGTTAGATTACCTTACCGTATGAATATGGTAAAACCAAGAATCTTACCCGGTAAGAGCGAGGCAAGGACCGAGAGTCTTACATGGTAAGTGAGGGCAATGAGTCTTACCACAATTAGCGCTTACCAAGTAAAATTGTTGCATATGATGCCCTTTTTGTTGACTAAAATCTTATGTAATAAGTAAATGATAGTGTTGAATTTTACCTATAAGTACTTACCGAGTAAGTGTTTGGTAAACGGCCCGTTAGTGCGATAGGAAAGCTGGTACGATATTGAATTTTATGAATGCGAGTAAATGAGTTTGGAATATTGATAATAAGCTAAGACCATTTCAATTTAGATTTTAACAAATGGGCAAGATTTGATAGTACCAGGCTGTGTTTACACACTTCAAGCATCCAATAATCAAAATGATCATATAATCATACATGTACTCATTTTTGTTGGTGAACTCTGTATATTATGCCAAATGATTACATGAAGACTACAACTTATTTGGCTAAAAATTCATTGTGTAAAAGTAAAATGTTATGACATACTCACCCAAAGATCACAAATATATGCTATATCATACACATCAAGTTATCAATTCATTACTGCTGTGATTATTGGTCTTGTCAGGGTCAAACTTTGGACTTGAGTTGTTGGGTTTAGTAGTATTAGTTAATATATCTCTAATGTTAGTTTTGGTCCCTTCAAACTACAGCTACAAAGACCCTGAACAGGGGTATATCTGAGTTCGTAGTGATGGCAGCTGATGCTGAGCCCCTTGAAATTATCCTCCATCTTCCTCTGCTTGCTGAAGATAAGGTACTTCTAGTCTAATGTTTTATGCTTTGCACACACTCAGTGAATTTTATAGATTGAATGCACAAACACTCATCCTTGTATTTTCACAAGGTGGGTGCTGAGCACTTATTTTAGTTTAGCAATCGGTTTGATGTTGAAATGGGTTCTATGAATGCATTTATGAACTAATTATGTTTATCGGCTTTCTGCGTGAGTTTATTAGCAACCATTTTGGTTACTTGTAAGTTTGAAACCATCATGAAAAAATGCAACAACATCAATTGTGGTTTGAACTTGTTTTGCTCATCATGTGGATTCCATACAAACAATCTTCATGAAGGTTTAGTCATGTAAAAAATACGTGATGGCTTCATGTATACATTAGCCATCCACTTATCTTGTTTAGTTGCTTTCACATGTTCTATATAGTTTATTTTATTCATACCTATTTACTTTTGAATTGAAAACTGTTTCTTGGACACTCTGAGAAATTCAATTTGCTAGTTGATAAGCACTTAAATCTAGTTTGGAGCATTGCTTATTCCTGTATAATGAGAACTTACAATGAACGAGAATCTTTTTTATAAAATGGAAATGAACAAATGATCTGCATGGTTTTGGCAGAATGTACCCTACGTTTTCGTTCCCTCAAAGCAAGCTCTTGGGCGAGCATGTGGAGTCACAAGATCTGTCATTGCATGTTCAGTTACCTCTAACGAAGGAAGTCAATTAAGATCCCAAATACAGCAGCTTAAGGTTACCTAATTGCCCTTCTAGTTACCTTCTTTATCTTAATTGCCATTAATGCATGGATTTTGACCTCTTTGCTTGCAACTTCAGGATGCCATTGAGAAGCTCTTGATCTAAGAAAAATGGAAATTCGGCGTGATGGGCCTTGCTGGATCGTGGTAATCTTTTGTTCCGTTAGAGGCTTTGACTGAGAGTGGAGGTGCTCTGCCTTTCTTTTCTGTTATTTTTTACAATACCAATGTTGCTTTCTTATAATCTTTGTGATGCATTATTGCAGTTTGAGAACTACTTCTTTCAGTGAGTTGGATTCATTTTTGTGCTTACATTTTTATTTATAACATAGTGCTCAATGGCTGATAGAATCCTTCAGGCATTTTTTTCTTGGAATTCTTTAGAAGGGCTGTTTTCTTGGGTATGTTAAGATTGGATTGTAAATGCTGTATTTTTTAGGGTGAATAAGTACATTGGCCCCTGCTCAAAATTTGATTTGAGTTAGGATCCTGACACCCGGGATCAATACTTATTCCCATTTTCTTTGCCGTGGGTTTGGATGAGATTTTGCAAGTGATCTGAGGACAAAGGTGCTTCTATTGCACCTTATTTCCCAATGACGTATTGGTAATGGAAACAAAAAGAGAGCTGAACGCTAGGTTGAAACATTGGAGAATGGTAATGGAGACTCGATGCCTGTGTATTCATCGGTCCAAAACCGAATACTTTTGATGCAATTTCTACCGAGTAACCACTAGAGGAAAATGGATGTGGCTGAAATGAGCAATGCTTAACTAGATGGTCTCGTGGCTGAATCATGACCAAACGACGTCTTTCAAGCATAGTTTGGAGTAATATATGTCATAGATAAAATGAAAGAGGGAAGAACGCCCGTGGTTTGGGTACTTTTCATAGGAGGCAATTGTCGACATATTTAAGGAGGGATAGACCGAGGAAGACGTGGGAAAGCAACTGTGACTGGACATAATAGCTCTAGACATGTCGAAAGACATGCTTTGATATACGAGTTTGTGGGCGTTTTTCTCGTAAAATCCTTTTCTTCATAAAAACAAAGTCGTGGTTAAAGGTAGGGCTATATACAAGGTTGATTACGATGAAGATATGGTACCTATGCAAGCATGTTGGTATTAGTGTCAACCAAGGCGATATAAGAGAATGTTGGAAGACCTTTCCTACCATGAAAGGTGAGGGCTAATCTAATCGCTCCAAAATGGATATATGTATACCCTTGAGGCAGACAAGTTTTCGTGTAATAGTGTGTGTGATGTGGAAGTTTTGAATGGTAGATTCAATTGATGCATGAATCCAGTCAAGTTTGTGAAGGAAAAAGCATTGGAGATTTTGTGGCTCTCTTTTTCAAATCATCATTTTGTTGAAATGAAAAATTATAAAAAGAATATCAATAATTTAAAGATAAAAAAGCATATAATATTTCCTTGTCTTATCTATCTGACATTATATCTTTAATTTGCATCCATTATTTATATTATATTCTTTTATCATTGAGGTCGATCACTTTTTGCATTTGAAACGTTTTACTCCTCACACTTGAACATGAAGAACACTCGTGTGGTTCTCAAAATTTTCAAATACATCATTTTTTGGGATAATTTTCATTAAATAATCTAAATTTCAAATCAGTGTCATTTATATCAAATCCCCTTATGGCCACGGAGATTCAAATGCGATGACTTCGGGCTATCTGTAAAGCAGGTGGTCGTCCTGAAATTAGTCGTCTCGTATAGCAAATTGGATATTCAGTTGGATATTCAGGTTAATTAAAAAAGAAAAACAACCCTAAAACTTAACAGTACCATATATTTAAATTTATGTTGTGGGCAAAACATGAAAATCTAGTTTTCTAACGGTTGGTAGCGTTGCAAAATTTTGGTAATTTACGAGTATTTGTTGTATTGAGATTGGAGTTTGAATTTTAAAATTCGGAACTAAATCTTTTGGATAATTTTCATTAAATAATCTAAATTTCAAATCAGTCTCATTTATATCAAATCCCCTTTGTGGCCACAGAGGTTCAAATGTGGTGACTCCAGGCTATCTGCAAAGCAGGTGGTCGTTCTGGGATTAGTCGGCTTGCATAGCGGGTTGGATATCTAGGTTAATAAAAAAAAACTAAATTTTAGTTAAGTTTGTAAAAATACCGTTCTAATACCTTTTATATAAGACTTGTAAAATAGAAAATCAAAAGATGTTATGACATTTTTTCTAAATTTCTTTTGGTAATATTCGATAGATTGAAATTTGGGTGATTTCTTTTGGCGTTTTCATAATCAGGTCTTAATTTTTTTTTTTGTAGACTCCTAATCTATACTATATTATAAAACATTTGGCAAAAACTCTTAAAAACCATTTTTTATGCGTAAATTACTGTTTATTAATGCATATTATTTAAAACTCAAGATTGCAAATAGATTGTGCATAAGTACAACTTATTAAAGCTCCATATCTGAATTCGTGAAACTAACTGCAGATAAATATAATCAAATACAGGATAAACATCTCACTTTAAATATAAAAAATCTAAAATATAATTAGGATAATCATTGAGTTATAACAGAATACTTAATTATTATCTTTATAAAATATTATATTATTAAACAAAAAATAAATTATTTTATTATTAAACTTAAATTAAATTATAATAATAAAAAATAAATTAAAGAAATTACATAAAAAATGAGAATTTTTAAATAGCAGATTTTTTTTTCCGAAGTATATAATATTTATATATGGCAAATGCAACAAATAAACTCACACACCCTCCTCACTTATGGTGAGGTTTGAACCCGTGACCTCCTAGAAGGCCAAGGGCTACGATACCGCTAGGTCAAAGGCCATTTGATTAGTTGATTTGATATTTTGACATTGATACATTTTTTTTCAAATTTTTATGATATCTTCAAATTTATATTTATTCAAAAATAAAATCATTATTGCTTTATTAAAAACACATAAAATCGTATTATAACATCGACAAAGACAAATAATAAAATAAAACATTAAAATCGAGATGTGTCTCGCTGCATTGCACGAGTACTCTTCTAGTATCATCAAAAAGTACTTAGGGACTGTTTACCCTATTGCTTACCCGGTAAGCGCTTACCGATAAGAGTCAACACTATGATTTATTTTGATGCGTGAGATTTTAGTATATTAAAACATATCGAATGCAACAATTTAGTGGGTAAGCGCTTACATGGGTAAGAGTCGTCATCCTCGCTTACCGGGTAAGACTCTCCATCATTCTCATTGCTCTTACCCGGTAAGATTCTTGACTCATCTCATGTTCATCCAATAAGGAAATTTATCCGGTAAGTACTTATCAAGTAAGTGTTTAATAAACGACCCCTTACACTTTCAGTTTTTTGGGATTAGTGATTATTTCTTTATCAAATTAAACACAAAAATATACTTGTTTTAGTTATGTTAGCACAACACATCCATTTACAAAAAAAGGGAAAGAATTATGTTCAGGTTCGTCCTAAGATTTTTGATACTCTGTTGAAAATAATAGAAAATGCTTCTAAGTCTATGAAATAACGAAACATGCGATTTTTTAAAGAGTTTAGAACTTATTCAAGCCGAGTGTCTCATCCTTATATTGATTTTTATTAATTATAATAAAAAAAATATTTGGGGGGGGGGGGGATATAAAAACCAAAATCCCAGATACAAATTATAGAATGATAGAAGGATAAATCATGGATTAAGATTATGTTTCCTTCTTTTCCAGTCTTTTCTTTTCCAAATTGAAATTAGCAAAATAGAAACTTTATTTTAATATATGGGACTTAAAAGACAAGGAAAATTATAATTATTTTTTAACTAAAATAGTAAATTACATCCAAATTACTGTCATAGTAAACAAAAAGTAAAACTCAAAAGTTACAGGTTTAACGACTAAAGGCTAAGGGTCTATCTGTTAGCAGCTTAATAAGCTTAATGGAACTAACAACTTATTCGCTCAACTATGCGTGACTGTTTCGTAGTGGCCTAATGATATAGAAAGTGACTTATCCAGTAAGCTTTTAAGGGGAGCTTTATATAGAAAGCCAAGATTTTTTTTTCCAAAACATATCCCTTCCAACTAAAGAAATGCTCCTTACATATGCGAAAAAAACTCTCCTAAACAAATTTTTTTCCAACTTATACAAACAGATTAATTCATACATACAACTTTATCCATATAGAACTTAATAAAAAACCAATCAAATGACCCCTAAATCTAATGCGGTAATGCCAAACCTCAAAGTAAACAAAAGTCAAAAGAACAATAATAAATTATAAATTCATAATTTATGTTACTGTGCATTACAAAAAACAAGTGCCCAATAATTAAGACAATATCACAATATTTTGTTAATGTTGTACAGTGTGCTCCGACTATGTTGATACAATAATGTGCTCATGTGCATTGAAAATTTCAATTATCAGATATTTCAATATAAAAGAGGAAGATTCATTATCAAAATGACAAAAACCCCTTAGCCTAGTAGGTCAGTAACCCACACGACCACATGACCCAACTTTATAATAATAAGTTAGAAATTTAGATTTTTTTTTTTGCAAAAAGATTTAAAGATTCATAAATCATAATATGACTCACACAACAACTCGGTAAGTTCAATCAACAGTAGAAATCAATCATTCGAGATTTCAATCTTTAATTTCTTGAATCTAATTTCATGACCGTTAATCGGCTAGAAAGAGAACTCCATGCCTTGAAAGTCGAAATAGTCGAACTTTGAAGAACAATATAAATTAGATTGAGTTGTTGGAATGATGACGTTAACCGGTTCACGATGTGCATTCAGTATCCATCACTACTAGGCTTGGGCCTGTTTTTATAGTTAAAGCTCAATTGTCCTATTCCCAAATTATTAAACCCAAAACTAGTAATAGATGACAACTTGATGCCCCTTTAAGCTTTGATGCCCTGTGCGGCTGTACGAGCTGCACGTAGCCAGGGCCGGCCCTGCTTATGTTCAATTTTTTAGTGTTACCACCTCTTGTATATTTTTCAGATAAAAAAACCTGTTGTTTAGTTTCCAGTGTATATGATGATAGACTCGAATCACATAATCTTTGTCGGCCAAGAAAAATATGTCAGAATTCTAGAAAAAAAAAACAAAAAAAATTGTGTGTTTGGGGCCCAAAACTTGCTAAAAGAAATGGGTAATTTTTTTCCTTCTTAGATTGGGTTGGTGGCATCAAAAAAGTAGCCCCCCTATGTGGTTGTGGGTAATCAATGTTTTATAACCAATTGTTTAAAGAAAAATGATTGGTTATATTGTTTTTGTATGCACTTATTTGTTTTGTTGAAATGAGTTTTATCACCACTTTATTCAACTTTC